TTCATATTTCATATATTTTTATAATTTATACTGGTCAAAGACCGAATACATTGAAATTGAATTGAATTGAATTGAATTGTTAATTACAGTGGAATACGTACTACTGAAAAGAGTAGCTTTCAGAACGGAGACACTCCACTTTATTGTGGCTCATTCTATAACCAAAATCTCTGAAGGTTTTTGAGAGAACTTGCACCTTGTATTTGTTGATTATGCACCAGCCTCTGTTCTTATAGATAGAAACAAACTGCAACACACAGTGCAATCCAAAACACAGTGAGACTTAACTTGAAAATAAGTTCCATAGTGTTTAGTGGCGCTAGCTCCCTAACATATATAGTACTGCAGCCCAACACTGATACAGGTTTACTGATTTTAATACTTGTTTCATATTTCAGTACAAGTCTGAGAGTATTGGATATATGGTTATTTTAAAAACTTATTCCTATTAAATATTCATATTCTGCATCTCAATTTTAATTCCCAAGGCAACTTAAAAAACACTGATAAAACCACTCTCCTGGCCCCCTCCCAAAAATCCAAAAACAGGCAGGGAAAAAAAATAAAAGCAGCATTAATGAGTCATTAAACATTAATAAGCTTGTCCAACTGTTGCCTCCTTTTCTCTTTAAACATCTATGTCAGTCCTATGGTAAAATAGTTCTCAATCATTCTTTCCTCTTCAAAATTATAAGGCACTAAACTGTCCTGCATACCAATATAGTACTATTTTCAGGTATCCAGGTTGGTCTCCAAAGGTAATTCTGAAAGTTTGGGGCTTATTGCTCTCAAAAGCATCTTTGTATTAATTACTGTCCTCCAAACTAAAGTAATGATTTTTCTTAGGCACTTGGGAACTTGAAAATGGTCAAATAATGGCCATCAAATGGAAGAAGTAGATGTTTTCAATTACACTGTAGTACATTTTCATCAACCCAGTTTCTGGAAATCTATTTATTTTCTGTTAAACTACTACTAACAATAATTCTCATAGGTCTTATTGGATTTCTTCTGGATCCTACAAAGGGTAGGATGGAAAACTTTGTGAACTCAGTAATAGCTAGTATAAATATTAAATAGGGGCAGACTTTAGGAGGTAGAAGGTACTCAGATATTGGAGACTTTACAAAAAACACATTTTTAGTATTTTACTGATTCTGTCTCAAGGTACTTCATTCATATGGAAAACAGATGGGGGCCTCCCCTAAGTTATGATCAAAACTCAGAAATGGCCAATTATGTAAACTAAGTAGGTAGGTGGTTCAAATCACATGTTGACTCATCGTGACCCCATGAATTTCACAGGGTTTTCTTAGGCAAGGAATATTCAGAGATGACGTGCCATTGTCTTAATCTGTAATATAGCCTATAGCACCTTATATTGTTTGTAGCCACCCTTCCCAGTACTAACCAGGGCTGATGACCCTGCTTAGCTTCCAAGATCAGATAAGATCTGGTGCCTTCAGGGTGTTGCCAATTATATACAACTAATGTATAATTTGTCTGACAGTTGTTTTATAAAGTTGTGTTTTGCAGAACAAATGGTAACAAGATCTTCAAGCCAAGAAATATCACACAATATGACACCGGTAGTCTAGACCTGGATTTTTGCAGGCTTCAAAATGGTATCCTGCTTTCAAATGTGACCATCATTGTCAGGTATTTTTCTGTTTTGTTTTGTTTTGTTTTTAAAAACCTTCTCCTCCCTCAAGCTTACGTTTCCAAATTCCAGCTGTCGATGATATTCAAACATTCAAAAATGTATTATTATTATTATTATTATTGTTAATTATGTAACTGCCTCTCCCTATGGATCAAGGCAGGGAACTACAGATTAAGATGCAGCAACAAATAGACACATAACACAATTAAAACATGAACACCAATTAAAAATACATAACCCGTTAAAAGAGCATTAACATCAGCTAAAAATTATACATATTAAAAACAATAAATTCATAATTTAAAAACCATCTGGATGAGCCTTCCAGAAGAGATTGGTTTTTAATACTGTTTTAAATTCAGACAGCATATCCAACTATCAACAAATCTCTTCTGTGTGGTACATGTTCCTTGGGTATAATACAGAACCCTTTGTTTAATACAGATCCCTTTTTATCAGTCTCCTTTTTCTGTATTTTCTCTTTACAGGAGCTGGGTAATGTATGTTCCAATCTGTACGCTATCTACAAAAATAATGCCCCTCCCACAACAACAGTTGGAAAAAAATCATTATACATTTCTTCAGAGTGTAACAATAAAGCTGATTGACTAATTTAAAATAACTGCATTTGTTTTCATCGGATAATTGTTTAAACAATATAACTTTTACTTTCGAAATATTCGTATGCAAGGTATCTTTGTCTTATATGTTTGAACAGTTTGCATTGTGATGACCAATATTTGTTTGTTTACTCATAAGCAATTGAAAGGGAGAAGAATTGCATCCCAGTGACAAACACATCCTTACATGTGTGTGCAGCTTTTCCTCCTAGTAAAACTGAATGGCATAAAGATATACTACATCCCATTAATCTGCAATTACGCACTGCCAGGGATTGTCAACCTCATAAAGAACTCATCCAGCAGAACTAAATAAACTATCAACATCCTTCACATTGCAGGCTATAAATGAAATTCATATAAATGAAGTTTAACAGGGACAGTGAGAATTCTAAAGTCCTTGAGTATCCTTGCCCTGCAAGATCACCTTCGCCTGCCCTCTGAAGCCTGAGAAAAAGACACCAAAGAGGCTGTGCCCTGATTCAACAGCTGGACCCTGCCATGTAACACATCCCTCTCCACA